GCAATTTCTTCTCAGCCTGCTAATCCAGAATTGAGCAACACTTAGCTATAGCTGAGAAAATACCCTTACTGAGGGGCAAAGAAAAAAAAACCATCACATTTCCCTTCATAATAAGTGTGCAATTCTAAATTACTTTCCTTCAGTGACTTCTATCTGAGGTCTAGGTCTGTTTGGCAGGTATTCTCAAATCATCTTCCTTCTTTGTCACTATGAAGGCCTCCTCTGCTTACAGAGGGGCAGGGCTATGAGAGGTAAAAGTTGGGGCTAGGGTCCAATCTAAATGACCCAACTGCCCCCTCTTTGTGTACTGGAGTCCTGTCTGGGCAGTGTTCATTTGTTTTCAAAGCCCTTCCCCCCTTACATATTGAGATCTGAGAAGCTTTACTGGAGGATGTATCCCTGGAGCTAGCTGTAAATGTGGTGGAGCTGGAAGGGGAGTAAGATAAATGCAAGTTGTCCAGACAAGGCTTACTTTTATATGTGGCTTTGTGGCCAAGGTACAATCTTGTCTTCCTGTCTTCCTTTCTTTGTTGTACTCTCTCTGGGTTCTACCATTAAAATGCAGATCAAAATCAATAGAGCCATTCTGGCTGAAGCAGACTGGTACATGCATGTGATATCTGGGTTATTTTCAGTAGCAGTGGCCTCATTGGGATTCCCAGGACCACTGAGATGTTCTTATCCTTCCCAAATTTCTGTCAAAGTATAATATAGAGTAATTCCGTAGGAAGGTAAGTGGCCAGTAAGGTAGGGGAACTACGTCTCAGGCCATCAAGGGCCTTCTCATTCCTCATTTGCTACTTAAACATCAACCAGAAAAAAATAGGTTATTTGGCTATTTGCTCTTTAACCTACTTCCAAACCCAAATCCCCATGTTCCCTGGCCACAGCTGTTAGTGATTTAATTTTTGTCTCTCCTGCAACTTTGGATATGTGCTTCTTATCACTTTGTGTGTATGTGACAGCACTGGGGCTCGGACCTAGGGCTTGAGCGCTGTCTTTTTTTCTTCCCTCAAGTCTGGTGCTCTACCACTTAAACTATAGCTACACTTTGGACTTTCTTTTGGTAGTTAATTGGAGTAAAAGTCCCACAGACTTTCCTGCCTGGGCTGGCTTCAAACTGTGGTCCTCAGATCTCAGCCTCCTGAATAGTTAGGATTACAGGCATGAGCCACCAGCACACACTTCCTTCATCTCTTTATACATGTTATTCAAACTCCACATCTAAATTTCCAATATGTGCACAGGTCCAAATTTCAAGGTACTGGATTCATTCATTCATTTTGAACAAATTGCCTTGAAAACTCCATAGCAAGACAAACTAATATTCAAAAGTCATCACAATTTGATGGGGGTCATACTATGTCATGAGGCTCTTTCTCAAGGTATTTATAAGCAGAGCTCATCTGTCTCCACAAAAATAAAAATTCTCATGTGGCATGACTTAAGGGATAAAGCACCTGCCCAGCAAGTGTGAGGCACTGAGTTAAAACTTCAGTACAACAAAATAAAAAATGAAAAATACAAACAAATTCTCACCTGAAACGAGTCTTCCATTCCGGCTGTGGGGATGTGGCAGGCAGAGAGCCATGTGATTGGCAGTCATCTTCCCACTCACCTTCATAGATATTATGTACACTTAAGAACTGCTATATCTTCAGTAATTCCTACGTTGAAAAGTAATCCCCAATATAACAGTATTCCATATATCCCTTTGGAGGTGATTAGGTCAAGAGTCATTCAGCCATCAAACATGCCAGTTTTCTTATAAAAGGACTGAGGGAACCTAGCCAGGTCCCTGTTTGCCTTTCTGTCCTTCTACCAACATAATGTTGAACATACTGTTCCTCTCTCTGGAGGCAGCAGAGTACTATCTTGGAAAAAAGCAGCAGCCCATGGTCCAGACACCTCTAAAGCAGTGGGAAATAAGATCTGTTCCTCTTAAATGACTCATTTCAAATGTTTTGTCGTATAGCACAAGAAGACTAAGACAGGGGCCAAAATGGAAACTGCTTTAGGATTCTTCCTAAACTGTCAACAGTTTAAGTTAACAACTGCTAAGCGGTTGCTATGGTTTGAACTTAAATATTCCTTAAAGATATGCCTTAATAGACTTAGTGTGAATGATACGCTTATGGCTGATGCCTGTAATCCTAGCTACTCAGGAAGCTGAGATCTGAGGATCACGGTTCAAAGCCATCCCATGCAGAAAAGTCGGTGACACTTATTTCCAGTTAACTATGAAAAATCAGAAGTAGAGCTGTGATGCAAGCTCAGGAACAGCACCCAGACCAAGTTCAAGCTTAGGACAGGTGCACGCACATGCACACACACATTCCTCCCCCCCCACACACAAATGATTTAGTGAATATGGCACTTTAAAAAATAGTGAAACCTCCAGGTGAGGTAGAAGGAAGCTCTGTCTCTGTCACTGAGTGTACATTTTTTTTCCAGTGCTTGACTCAGGGCTTCTCTCTCTCGCCTGGCTTTTTTGCTCAAAGATGCCACTTTACCTGTTGGGCAGCTCTACTTCCACTTCTCAGGGTGTGTGTGTGTGTGTGTGTGTGTGTGTTGCAGAAGGTGCAGGGGAAGGGACGGTGGTGTGCTCTTGAAGGGGATACTGGGACCCTAGCCCTTTCCTCTCACTTTGCTTGTAGGCAAGCAGCTTTCCTCTTGTGAGAGGTTTATGGAGAAACTAAACACTAATCAGACCCAATCTGAGGGATGTGGCCACTATGGCTAGCAGGGGAGAAACAGGGTCAAGTGATTCATAGCCCTCCTACTTGTACTACAAGGAAGGGTGGAAGAATGAGATTGCTAAGCAAGTAGACTATAGTCCCCATAGGTTCTCTAATAAACAAAGCCACCAGACACCATTCTTCAGTGGCAGAGACATGATGTGCAATAGCTGTCACTATCGAATGGTCAAAGTATGCTGTCTCATGGAAAAGGTAAACGAATGTGGTGTATTCTATATAGGTGTACTGTAGTGAGACATACTGAGGTGAGCTAAGGGCCACTGGATGAGGGGCAGCATTACCACATATATAACAGAGGAGTCAGCTTTACTTTCAGTGGCTGTTTCCCACTTTCCACCCAGTCCCCCACACTGCCAACTTCCATGTCTCCACTCTTCCATACACTGTATCTGGGCTTCCATCCACAGTCTAGCTATTTTTTTCTCAATGAGCATCTCATTTCTTAAGCCATTCCCTGCAGCCACATGCATTTCACATATTACCTTTGGGAAAGATACATTGATCACATTATATTACAGCACTGGGCACTTAATGAGAGCTTGATGAGTGAGGGAATGGGTGGAAAACACATTATTGACAAGGTAAATAAGGTAAATAACAGAAGTCACTCTCACGTTTAACAAACATTTATTAACACAAAAAAATGAGTAAGGCATGGCCCTCTGTTCTCAGGATGCCTGGTGAAGAGAGGCAGACAATCACAAAGCTACAGTAGGATCACAGTAGAATAAGTACTATCACCAAGATATGGACAACGTACTTTGGAGGCACAGTAAGTAGGATAAAGATGGGGAGGGAGGAACAATTATCTAACTTATACTGGCCTACAATATCCAAGGCAGGCTCCAGAGAAGTCATCTGTGAGGGCTTAGAGGAACCACTAGGTGAATGGTTAAGGAAGCCTTAACCAGCCATGTGGGCTGGGGCTCAAGAGACCTATAAAAGGCCAGGAAAGTGAGGGGTTCAGGGAACCAGGCATGAGTGAAAGGGATAAGGAAATAAAAAGGGAATAAGGAATGAGCAGAAGGACTGCTAAGCACAAACCCATAGCTCTACTGCAGAAATAAAAAAAAAAGAATTTTCCCATGAAGGGAAAAACTCAAAGCAGAGAGGGTGGGCCACAGGTCCTCAGACATGGGTCCCTACCACCTTCTCAGTCAGGCTAGGAAGTTCAAATCCCAAAAGCAGAGCTTCACAGTTGTAATCTGATTTCACTAAGCTGCACAATTATCACAACCCACCTATCAGAAGCTATGAAACAAACAAAACAAAATTAAAAAAAAACATTTAAACGCATTTCTGAAAGGCAAAGTCCCTAAAGTCTTTATCTTTGTCAAATGAATTGATTTGTCTAAATAGCTCTACTTCCTTTAGGAAATTAGAAGGAGCATGAATCTGAGTGAATGGTGGACTGGTGATTAGGCTTTGCTGTTATCTCACAATTGGATGGTCACATAAGGGTTAAAGGGTCCACCTTTTTTCACATTGTATTTATGTATTAACATAAAAACCAAATAATATCTATAATATCAAACCCCTTTGTCTTGTAACTCCTGCCTCCTCTTACTTCTTTTATACCCGTCTGTCTCTTAAGATCCGTAAATAAAAAAATAAAATTTAAAAACTTTTAAGTTTTATTTGAATGGTTTCTTGTCTTTTATCACTTTCTATGTAAATTTTAAGCTTATTTTCTTTTCCTTAAACTATTATCCTTCAATATTTAATGTTTTCATTTAAGTCTCTACTAATGTAAGGTTCTTTTTATGTTTTCAAATTGTCTTTCTCTAACCTTTTTAAACTTTTGGAACAACTTTTGTCTGGTTCTGAAATTTCAATCTCAACAGTTTTTCTGAATTTAACTTGAATTTTCACTCCATTCTGCACATTGTGAAGTTTTTATATTGTGAAAATTTAATAAAATATTAGGTTTTAGAAGATTTTCCCCCCTAACTTTTAAAACAAAGTGTCTCTTTCACTAACTCGCTTGGTAAACTTTCTTTTTAACTTTATTTCACCTCTTTCACAAACTTTTTTGGTAAACTTTCTTTTTAACTTTGTTTTATTTCACCTACCTTAAATTTTAAGATTTTCTAAATATTCTATGTTTAAACACCAGTAATAATTTTGAATCATTTTAAAATCAAAAAAATATTTTAACTATTTTCTTCTAAAAATATTTAACTTAAAGTTCTTAACATTTAAAAATGTTCTTTCAAAACTTTTAAAAATGGGTTCTTTAAAAAAATGTTTCTCTTTTAAAGCTTTAAATTTTTTTCTTTTAAAATATTTTTTCAATATTTGGCTGGTTACCCACAGCTGGTACATCCATTCTAAAACTTTTTTTTTCTAATGAATGTTCCCAGACTCTCCACAATATTTTTGTAGAAATAAATGGCATATAGTAGTGTCAGAATATCTCTTCCCTCACCTTTTGCCTTTTTGAGCATTCTTTGCACTTTAACTATATTCACTGTGACCATTTTCAACCTGGTCTCCCTCCCTATCTCTTAATAAGGCTGAATGGTCACTGGTTAGTATTCAATTCTTTTCTTCTACAGACCCAGGGGTCATAGTAAAGTAAGTCCTTTATATCCAGATGCCACATGTCATATATAGGTATTATTGTCATTGTCCGTTCTAAGTAGGTTTTCCTGTTACTTCAAGAGGTGCTCATTGTTATAAGGGTATTATTATAATCGTCCATTTCAGGTAGATTTGTGTGTCACTTCAGGATCCTTAACCTAATCATTTCTTTGAATTTTTTTATGGTTAGTGCTCTGGTAAGACTAGTCTTTCTCTAGACATTGCTTGTGGTAGAATAGTAAATACCCTTCACTGTAGAGTAAGTCCTCAATGGTAGCCTTGGTGATGATGGCATCATCACAGCTGAACCACTGATCCTCTTGTTGACGGATGAAGCTGGTGTAGTGGCCACTTTCCAAAGTCCCATGGTGGTTAATCACTGCAAATAAGGAATACTTATTCTCATCAGACACACAACTTGTTGGTGGCTGGCCGTCTTTCATGATGCTCTCTTTAGTAGAGGCCAAAAATGGAGTCATGTCCAGCTCCAGGGGAAAAGAGATAAAAGTATTAATCTTTCGCCTCTGTTTGCCTACATGTTCAAACCGCTTGAGGTGAAAACAGGCCACCTTAGGCAATTTCTTCATTGTGAGCTGTTTGGTAGATTCTTGGTAGCTTTGGCAACTACTGCACTTGATTTTGGCACTGCTTCCTAGGGGCTCTGGCCTTGTAAACCACTGTAGGCAATCTGTAAGGGAGGGGATTCCTGGTATATGGTCATCCCTGCTCATTGTACTGTCAGCCCACTCTGAGTTCTGGGAACTGAATGTGGCATAGGAACCAGGCAAATCCAAGCTGATGTCCCAACATGGGTCTATGGTGGTGGAGACACTGTGACAGGCTTGACATGTCACATCTGACTGTAAGCCACCTGTAAAGATTTGGTCTATGATGCAATTACAGCAGTTGGGATTGCTGGCTTCCTGTTCATCACTATCATCTTTGCTGTGTCTATGCAGCACGTCTAATATTGCAATAAGAAACTCGTGGGCATCCTGCTGCCTGTACCCTGCTAAATGTTCTGCATGAATCCATATCAGGTGCAGTAACTTATAGGGAATATGAGGAGTTCGGCTCCCAGAGTACATAGCATGAAAAAGTGAAGACATTTCACATACCAGACACAAACTGGGGCTTGTCATTATACATTTGTGCTTATCAGACAGGAAGAAATCCTTCAGCAGAGGAATATGAGTAAGTGCCTGCACAATACAATTCATAAAACAGGTGTTCCCAAGGTTGATTAGCCCTCTCAAGCCTACAGTATAGACTACCTTTTTTCTCCTCTTTTTCTTGGGTTTCACCAAATTGAGCTCCTGTTCCTTTGATTCACAGGTTGACTGATTATCTTCAACCCCCAATGGCATAAACTGTTCATAGGAAAATTCTGTTGAGGTGGAAGTTAATCCTTTCATAACTTTCTCTTTTGTTTCTTTGGCAATCTGTTCTATATCTTTGTCATATACATAATCCTTACACATAAAGCAATATATAACTCCATGATAGAGGTCTACTGCTAAATTGTGCTGTTTGGCTTCTGCATGTTTATGAATATGTTTCTCAGTAAAGCAGCCAAAATAAACACAGGATAGACAAGAGTGTAGTCTGTTCATATGGGTACTACATACATGACAGATGCATGACTTTGCCTTACGTTTCCTAGTCTCCGGGGTTCCACTCCAAACGAAACGCTGGTAGATCATTCGCAGATTCTTCTGCCAGTTTTTGGCTACTTTAAAGCTCACCACATGAGAGCAGCCTGTGGGACCCTGATCAAACTCAACTTCCTGCAACCAGTCCCCAAAGCCGCCTGGATCGCTAAAGCCGCCTAGGTCACTAGGGCAGCTTCTCCGTGTCTGGGGCCTGGATATAGGCCTGTATCTACGCCGGGATCGGCGCCAAGCCGGGGCACGCGATGGGGGCGGCGGCGGCGGCGGCGGGAGCCGGATTGGAGGCGGGGGTGGGACTAAGAACCTTAGAGGGCCGCGGGAGCAGCGGGAGCGGGACTGGGGCCGAGGGCGGGGCTTGCGGCGCGGGCTAAAGGACGAGATGCTGCCGTGATAGGAAGAGGGGGTTGGTAGGAGCACCTTCTCATCGCCACCGCTGCTCCATGGCAAGTTCTCCTCAGGCGCGGGTTTGGTCTCTTGTTCAGACTCCAGCTTCATTTCGGCTTCCTGGACCGCGTATGTCTGCGCTGTCCCCATCGCCTCCTCCTCCTCCATTTTCCCCGCCTTCTCAGCCGCCTGCTCTTCAGAGGCTCCTCCCCCGCCGCCCGAACTCAAGCCCGCATCACATTCAGAGGACCGGGAAGCTTCTGGAACCTGGGCCATCATCAGCCCACTTCCAGGCGGGTGAAGAAATGCGTTTGCAAACGACCGGCGCCTGTAGATGAAAGGAGATAGGAACTTCTGAGAACGAGATGCCCGGCGTCATGGCCGCAGTGCGCCGCTATCGCACTGGGACCCCTCCCACTGCCCTTAGAGCTCCGTCTGCCGCTGCCGTGGGCTCCACCCCCTTAACTCAGGCTCCCGGAGCTGGTGTACACCCGAGATGGTTACCTGTTTAAAAGCAATCGGTTCATGCGGCTATTGGGGCGGGGGCGGCGGAAAGGAAAAGGAGAAAAGGCGGGGGATGGGAAGGGGAAAAACAGCCTGAGCTTTCAGGGTAGAAAGAATGGAAACTTCGTTTTAAAAGGCACCACCCTCTGACTGCCCTTTTCTTGCGCAGCCTCGCATTGGTACAGCTTTCTCTGACGTTCTTTCCCTGTATCTTAAAAAAACAAAAAACAAAAAAAAAAAACCCCACAACCCACTAAGGTCAACATCGTGTCTTAAATATGGCTGAAAGGAGGCTACCTTTGAGAAAGGGACTCAGAGAAAGAAAGTGACCCGCAGCCCCGCCGGCTCCTAGCTTACCTATGCTTCTGGGCCCGGTCTGATCCATCTTCTGCCCTTCCCACCAAGCTCACTTTCGGTACTCCACGCTCTAGCGCCCTCTCTTGCTCTTTCGCTCCTGTGCTCTCCCACCTTTTTTCTCGCTTCAGTCCCTTCATTTCCTAGGATTTCTCCTACTGTTCAAATCGCTTCTCACTCCCTCCGAGCGTCGCTGGCTCCAAGCTACCGCCATCCACGATACACGACCCGCAAAGTCTCAGCTTCCTTCCCGAACCGTCCCCGCAACGCCCCCAGCCCCGTGTTTGTATAAATGCCTTGGTTACCTTGGGCCCCAGGCGCGTGATATGGAACGTCAGCAGCTGCTGCTGTCCAGGCGCTTCTCAGCCAGTCTTCTCTCCTGACCTCTCCTCAGGGCTGGTCACAAGGGGGCCGCCCCCTGGTCCCTCCCCTCTCGACGTGCGGGCCCCCAGCCCCGGATTCAGCCCTCCAGCAGTGATGAATGGCAAGGCTGTCCCGCTCCTGCAGACAAACCTCTTCCTGAAACAGATTTTTTCCCCCTGGAGGCAACAACAACGATAGATTTTCTGAAAAGCTCCAGGAATGGAGGGTTCAGGCTTCACCTGCCTTTAAGCCCATTATTTTCAGAAAAACAAATAAATTAATCAAGATTCAGATGGGGAGGTATGGCAAGTCCGGCATAAATCCTTCCAAGACCCTTTAGAACCTGATCTCTGGGAGTCAAGTGGAGAGGGGATATTATACTAGAGAAAAGGGGAGGAGAAGCATGAACAAGGGATTAAAGACCCAAACCCAGCTTCTCACTGCCTGTGTGACACCAGGCACCATACTTAAACTCTCTGAGCCTTAGCTGTAATCATTTGTTAACTGAAAATGGAAATAATCTTAACATTTAACAACACTCTCAGTGGATGTAAAATTTTAAATAAAAAGGTCTTTATATCAGCCTTTACCTTTCACCGCAGTCTTTCACTCTCCCACCTTGGGATCTGCACACAACACAACACCAGGCAGTCTCACAAAAGTTTCTGCTCATTTGGCCCTAGAATCCCAACGAGGCAGTTTATATACTGGAGCCGGAAGCCAACATTGATACAAATCAACCTTCACTAAGAGGCTAGGGTGCATTGTAGGGGGCACACATAACAATTTGTATCCACACAGATGGTTCATAGGCCTGGAGAACTTTCCCACCCTCTGACAGAAACAAAATTCAAGGTTACAACCCCCAGGAAAGCTGCTATCTACAGGTCATGCTGCCCTTCCTGTCTACTCTCAAGATTGCTATTTACCAGCAAAATATTTAGTGGCATAGGAATCTCTCCGGGACAGTTTTACATCCCACTCTCCCTTTATACCTCAGGATTAAGATTTCTCTCTCCCAGGGTCAAATGTAGCATCTACTAGATGCCTCCTTTCTATCAATGTCAATGATTTATAACACTCGGTAGTAGATCCATGAATCTTTCTGAATCTTCTGACCGAGTACAAAGCAACATGGACTCTGAGAGAAGAATTGCCTTAATTCTCCAATTCCCCACAGTGATTATGGGTTGAGAGGTTGAAATAAGAGTCAGGCTTCTTCAGAGGAACTTCTCAGCAGGAAAAGAACATTATAAAACTTTCACATCATTATAATGTTTCCAACCATGGGCAAACTGTGTATCCTCTGTGAAGCTCAGAAAGCTCTAGTAAGAGAATAATAATAATAAACTGATAATAAAGTGTCTCATAATAAGCTCTCCATTTCCGTAGCAAATACCTAATACCAATCAATTTAAGAGAGGAAGGGTTCATCTGGCTCATGCTTTCAGAGGTTTCATTCTATGTTCATTTGGCCTCTCCACCTTTAGGCATGTAGTAATAGTACGTATTGTTGGTAGGGTGTATTGGAGCAAAGCGCCTTAACTAACTCATGGGAAGAGGCCCAGGATGTGAGGCGTCAGGGGACTGATTATAAAGGCCTAGACACATTGAACATGAAAGTGACATTTTCCTGCTCCATTTTTTACTACCACTTGTGACAATGGGTCTAGTAAACTGTGTGAAATAGTAATAAATAGCAGGATTAACTTCATAGCATGTGTGCTACATTATGATTTGTGTGTGTGTGTATGTGTGTGCGCGCTAGCACTAAATTTAGAATTCAGGGCCTTAAATAATCACTTGGACTTCTCAATCAATGCTAGTGCTCTATCACTTCAGCCACAACTCCACTTCAGGCTTTTTGCTGGTTAATTGGAAACAAGAGACTCGAAAACTTTTTCTGCTGGCATGGAACCATGATTCTTAGATTTTAGCCTGCTTAGTAGGTAGGATTACATGTGTGAGCTACTGCCACATAGCAGCAACTTTTTTTCAAGCAAACCAATGGAATTTCAAATTTTTGGCAGGATTACTGTTTATAATGAACATTCATATTTGGAAATTTTTATATAGAAAACACAAAACAGAAGGGGTAATAACATAGACAGTTACCTTTTTTCCGCTGAAATACAGGAGTACTCTATTCTGCTTCCCCCCCCCCCGACCCCCATTGAAGTGAAACATTTTTTTCCATAATAGGTCTGGTTACAATGGTGTACTCTCATTAGGAAAGTCTTTTGCATTTTCTGGGAGCATACAGAAAATCACCATGATTTCCAGTTTGCTTTATAAAGCACTAATTATATTGACCTCTTTTTTTATTTCAGGGTGATGGCAACAAAGTATATACCCTCCTGACAAAGGAGACATTTTACTTGTAGTGAGGGAAGGAATAAACACTCAAATCTCCAGAATGCTGTAGCTTTCTGGAAAGAAGCCTGTTGGGTAGTCACCCAAACTTTGAGTAGTGTCCTAACTAGAGAACATGAGAATGTCCGGTTGAACTTGGTTGTATTTGCGTTTGCCAGGAGGAGGTGAGGGTGGTGGTAGAGGTTTTCTTCGCCATGAGTGCTTAAGGAGTTTTCTTTTCCAGAAACAACTCACTTGTTGCCAAGCAAGCACTTGTTGTCATGTATACATGCCATACAACAGCAGAGATAAGCCAGCTGATAGGCCCTTGTGCCTCTAGTGAGCTCTTCATGGCCCCCATGTGTTTTGGGGAAACAGCACATGATGTTCATCATTCTCGTCCTCTGTATGTTTCCAAACTGTGAAGAATGTCCTTTTGGTCTCACATGGTCAAAATAGGTTTTGATGAGCAAGGGGACGAGTGGTTGTGTTTTCTGTGGAAGGAGACGGTGGCAGCCATGTTGTAGTCTCATGTCTCACCACAAGGTCAGTACCTGCTTTGGTATGATGTAAACAACCTGAAAAATGGTCACAATCATTGTCCAAACAGACATAAACTCTTTACCTGACTTTAGTAACTGTAATCCCTCCGTATATCACCTTTACCCTATAATAAAAAAATAAAGAAAAAATGCTCATAATGCTTCACTCTGTAAATCTCAAAATAGCAACCATGTCAGCAGATCAGACTGCTTTTTATCAATGGTGAGCACGAAGTGTGTGGCTGAATGAACAGGTTAGATCTCTTTCTTGGATAAGAACTAATAAGCTGAATTTTCCATTTGTCTGGTGTTTGAAATGAGTGGTTGAGAAGCAGAGTTCAGTGTGTCATAGGACATGATGTTAAGAATAGTGTGTGTGTGTGTGTGTGTGTTCCCTTTCCTTCTGACTTTTTCTTTTCTTTTCTCGTGGAGGCTGCTGGTCACTATGTAGCCCAGGCTGTCATCAAACTCACATTCTCCCTGAGGGCTGGGATTCCAGGCATATGTCTCAATCCCTGGCAATCTTCTGTGTTTCTGCATCCATGATTTCATTAAATCTTCACAGGACACAAGAGGAGCACTTGAAAATCCATTTTGAAATCAAATTGCCCAGAACCCAAGGACATGATTTGATGGGTCCCCTTGCAATGAGGCCTCACAGGAGAAGCTGCAGAAAACACAGCAAGTGGTGAGATCTCCAGAAGAATGTTGATATCATTAGGACTAAAACATAGGACCAGCACCAGTGCTGTTGCAGCCCCTATTTGAGAGGATGCTATAAAGTTTCTGAAATATTCCCCTCAATGGCTTATCATGAAGAGTAAAGCCTGAGACTTGGCACGTTCTGCTTAAGTTTCTTAGGGCACAGGAATCTCAGTCACTTGCTACACTTTCAATCAAAACCTTTGTAAAATTTTCATTTAATGTGAAATTAGGCAAGAATTCCATGTGTAATAATTTACCAGACTTCATTGTCTGGTTGAGGTAAGAGAGCTAATGAGAAATTACTTAGAGAAACATGTATTGGAATTTGAGACATGTTGCCGATCATAAGGCTAGGGAGAAAGTCTGGGATTTCTCTCAACATTTCACAGAATTTCACAACTTTGATGATAATTCTGATCAATCATCTCTGGGTGGTACCATAAATGGCATGAAGAAAATACCCCCAACCATTTTATTAATACTTTTTGTCTACCCCCTGACTTCAGGGCCTTACCAGCATACAGGGCAAATATTCTGAGAAGGTAGAAACTGAAGAAATGACAGTAGGAAGAATATCTGACCCTGCTTGGCCTCCTCATAGCAGGGAATGGGCTGTGCAAGAGTTTCCAAATTCTGTCAGCAGTGTCCATGCACTTTGTGAGAAATTGGCTGTTTGGCTACCCTGTCTATCATGGGCTCAATAGTTTTATCATAAGTCATTCATTTAGAGGACTAAAAGCACTTTATTTCAATATTTTGTTTACAGCCTGATTTGTGTACTCATCAGATGGTCAAGCCCTTTGTTCCTCAATTTGAATGCCACCATTGCCTCTAGGTATGTCTAGATTTACTCCCTATGCTGGTTCTCCATTGGAGGTGGAAAGAGTTCTAGAAATCAGGGCCCATTCTCTTCACCTCTCAGTTGCTTCACAGATTCCTCATTATGATTGATTGTCCTGTGGCTCTCTTTTTCTTTTGTAATCGTGTGTGTGTGTGTGTGTGTGTGTGTGTGTGTGTG